TATCTGACATTTCATGGGTTTTCAGGTCTGATATTTTATGAATTTCATATCTGACATTTATTTGACATTTTATCCTGTGACCTGTTTGCTTGGATTTGTGAGCATGCTCAGATAGCGTCTGTACACAGATTGCAGGTCTGGAGAGAGGGGACACTGGGAATATACCCAAGACTTCACTTCCTGTCCCTGCCAAAGAAAAGCATTCCCACACCGTGATGAACATTCAAATCAATAACTCATTAAAGAGGTGATGACTGAAGGCTGTTAGTGCGACTAGATTTTCATTTATTTAAGGGTACCATAATCAAGGAGTGGATACAAAAGCACATCACACATTTCAGATTATTATTTGATAGCTTTAAAAGCACTCCAACTGAATCTTTTCCTGTTTCTAGGTCTAGTTTATCATTTTCTTTACACAATAACTGAAAAAAAAAAGCTTGTCATCTTACTTACAAAACGTGCAAAAAAGGTGAATTTCTTGGTTCCATGCCACTAATCCACTGAAATTCTCTCGTCTGCCTTAATTGTTTCGGCATCACAGGAGAAGAAACTTGTGAGTGGCAGATTGAGGAAAATGAGGAGCATAAAACCCAGTTTTATTCATGAATGGCAACATGATTGGAAACAGGCTTAATCGCGCGTGCGCGCGCGCGCACACACACACACACACACACACACACACACACACACACACACACACACACACACACACCTGGCTGAAACCCAGTTTCAGCACTGAAAGCCATCCAGATGCACAGTGCAGATAGGAAAGAGAGATTGAGCATGGTTCTGTCTGCCAACCAACTGGGCAAATTAGAGAGAGGAGGAGATAAAGCGGGAAAAAAAGAAAGTGGAAAAGAGACAGCAAACTGCACAAACAATATGGAGAAAGTGAAGGAAGATAAGAGGCAGAGGGGAAAAAAAAAGAAGGGAAATAGAACATTGGGGGTCTTTAATATCTGTACTTGCATGACCGCAGGATGACCTTAGAAAGAAAGAAGGAAGGAAAGAAAAAAGACAAGGAGAGAAAACAAAAAAGATAGGAAGAAAAAAAGAAACAAATTAAGACACAAGGTAAGAAAAATGGAAGAAAAATAATATAAATGAAAAAAAAGGAAATGTAGTTCTGCTGTAGAAGGAGGGAAAGCGAGACAGCTCAAATCCCCCCTTTTCTATGAAGGAAAATTATCCTCAAAACAAAAGGCAATAACAAGCTTATGGGGCCGCCATAAAAATGAGAACAATAAACACTCGAATCATGCCCGCGTGTGCGTTTGCATTAGCGGATCTGTGCGCGTCTGCGCGTCGGCGCAAGTGTGTATTGGTGCGTGCGGTCTGACTGTACGTCTGTGTGCATGAGCAGGCAGCACGAGTGCGTGCACGTTGACTATTAAAGCGATAATTTAGGACACAATAGCAGTCTGATGCACCGACGATAGTCCTCTGCAGAGCACAGCTGCTGGATGATTATCTGGGCTTTTCTCCACACACATTAGCTATTTCTGATTTAAATGGGAGCATGTAGTTATCTAAAAATGCCAAATTTAAACATTTAATCAAGCAACGAAAATGAGCGGTTAAACTGCGCACAAGTTCGGGATTTAGACAAGCCCGTGGATTTTCGCTGGCAAGGAGGGAGAGAGAACCTCCTACCTGACTTTTGGAGACAGAAACTTTAGCGAACAGAGCCTGGGACACTTTGGCTCTCTTCATCTCATGATGGATCTCGTCATAGATGGAGGCGCTGACGTTAAGAACACAGCTGTCCGTCCTGAGCCCTCTGTCGGCTGTAACCGGTGACAGTCTCGCCTTGCAGGAAACAGACAAGAAGGAAGGAAACGGTTTCAATGCACACACTGCATAAAAAGGGAGTTGGATTTACTCTCGGAATGAGAGCAAATAAAATATTATTAATTGCAAAGCTACAATTATGTCAATTTCTTTTTTTTTCACAATATGTGGGATTGTGCTCTCATCAGCAGAGGCAAGAAAACTATTAAAACTAGAAATCTGTGGGCACAAGTGAGGAAATGGCTGTTGTGATTCTTATCTTTTTTTATTATTATTATTTGTTTTTGATAACACTAAACTATTAACTTAAGCTCGCCGTGGAGCTGTTTTAGAGGGTATGCTGCTTTAGGCTTAGACTGTGGGAGGATTGTGGGGAACAAAGAAGCCACTGCAGCAGTTGCTAACTTTCTCCACTCTTTTCCTCAGTATATAGAGGGTACTCCTATGTCAGTGTATTTGGGTCTCAGTGCATCTTTTTCCTGAAAAAAGCCACAGACAGATACCATCTGCTTCAACTTGGTGTGCTCTCTTTGATTATTGTTTTCCATCTGCCTATTATCCCTCCAACAGAAAGTAAGGCTGGACCGTTGTTTCTAGGAGAGACTTTTTGTTGTTTTTCTTTCAATGTCCAGTCCATCAGCCGCCCACCGATTGTTAGTCAGATAGGCTTTTACCAAATTAGGATTGGAAAAAGAAAAGGGTACAATTGTTATTAGTACTGTCTCCTCACAGCGAGGGAACCACATGATTAGGTGGGCACAGAATAATTAATGTGTGACTAAAGATGCACTTTAAAGGAAAATATAGGTCTCTGCGCTGGCTGACCTGTGTGGATCTTGGGGGCGTGTTGCTGCAGCTGGGTGGGAAACCGGTCATGCTCCTCTCCTTCTCCTCCTGGTACATGCGCTCTCTCTCGGCCTCAGGAAGCTGCAGGAAGCTGTTCATGGCCCGCAGGTTGACCAGCAGAGACTGGGAGGCGTGTTTTGGATCCTCCTCCTTACGCAAGATCTCTGAGAGTAAACCCTAGCAAAAATATATATATATATATATATATATATATATATTTTTTTTTTTTGTGTGTGTTATGATCATTTGTTACAAACACGTTAATAGATATCTCACCTAAAAGAATGATTGGGTTTCTTTAATCCAGATCCTACATGGACAGAAGATTTCAACCAAAACATTGGGTCAAAAATTTTGATCCGGCTTGCCAGACTAAAGAAGGAACTTGAAGGACATTCTTCATAGGGAATCGTTTTTAAACTTTTCGGCTTGATCGGACTTCACTGATTCCCTTTGCCGGGTGAAATAATAAATAGCCAGATGGCAAATTATTCTGTGTAGTAATATTGATGGCAATGGGTCGCATTAATGAACATTAATGAACATTAATGCGACCCAGCAATCCTAAGTAAACTAGTTTGTTCACTTAGGATAAAGTTAGCCCTTTACAAGCTAGTTAGCAAGTGATGCTAGTGTTAGTTATGCTTTATCTTCACACTTGGACCAAAAAATTAGGTCATAGTTCCATAAAAGGTTAATTTAAGAGTCCTGGAGCTCAAATATGAACTGTATATGCAAAAATACAGAAAGCTTTTCAGTATATATAAAAATTGTTTGATCGCTTAAATGTCCATTAAGCTTTTCCTATGAATGATCACAAAGGATATAAATAATTTTTTGACATATCAACTTTGTTGAACTTTGTAAAATAACTTTTCTTATTTATTTATTTTTTTTAATTACAACCCTAGTTCATTATCTTGGCGAAGCGGTATCATTTGTAACGCAGCGTCAAGCTAAAACCAAGTCATTCACTTTGAACCGAATATGAACTGTTTTCGAATTCACCTGCACTTTTGTTGTCTTATAATGTGAGACACTACCCCATTAACCCATTGACATATTCCTGCAGTGACCACATCTGGAACGTTTTCAATGCGCATCGTGCAGTTTAACAACAGTTTAACACGTATTAAAGTCTGTGCACAAACAGCAACCCTGTCTTTCCAATAAGACAAAAGAAATAGCATGAGATGAAACGCCCTGCTTTCTCAAACAGGGCGTTTGAGAAAGCTATGAGAGTCATTGGAGACTCTCATAGCTAACGCCAGCTTGCAAACAGAAACGGGTCTTTGTGCGAATCGTCAAATGACAAACATGCCTTGTACTTTGAGATAGGGTTTTGGCATCATGCCTAATGCTTATGGCTGGCACGAGAGGACCCTTGGCAAACAGAAAAACATGGGGGTGGATAGTAAATAACAGCAGAGATTTATTATTATTATTATTATTATTATTATTAGTAGTAGTAGTAGTAGTAGTAGTAGTAGTAGTAATAATAATAATACATTTTCAGGGTAAGTTTAGGAATTAAAGATTTTGGGCCAGGTTGCTTTGGACACAAACACATAGTGACAAAGAGGACATAAAAAAATAGATTAAAAAAAGACATATTTTCTGTCTGAGACACTGAGTAAAGAGAGCAGGGATCTCAGTTGCCAGAGTGAAAGGTGGCATAATAGAAGGACAGCGAGATTGAGCAGGAGGTAGGGAGCGAGACAACATTTCTCTGAGGGGCTGTGATTACTTGGCCTAGCAGCTGCTTTACTGCTGGCACCGGCTTTGTGCTGCAGAGTGTTGGCACAAACACATACACAGAATCACACATTCGCAGAGGGAGGGGGTCAGTGCAGCAGAGGCGAGGACAGCGTGCGAACCGAGATGCCATAACCATTACTGGAACACCAACAGCAGGCCAAAAGTACAAAGTCTCGCAAAAGTGGCCATATCCCTGGAACTTGAATGTTACGCAGGGATGCATATTTTTCAACATTTTTACTGGTAAAAAAAAAAAGTTAACTATGGTATTTATATATATTTATTGCACCTGTTTCCCCATCAACTCTAATCAGCTTTCCTGTTCAGGCTGAGGAAAAGCATACTTACTCCTATATGATACCACCGCTCTTATTATGGCGTGGTCTGGCTGATGTTTAGTGTAATCTTTCCATGAAACACAATGGTTTGCATTTTGGTCAAAAAACTCTACTTTTGGTCTCACCTGACCAGAGCATCTTCTCCAAATGCTTTCTGTTCCAGATGCAAGTTATGCCAAAATGAGAATATTAGTTTTTGTGGTTTTCTTGTAAAAATGGCTCTGCTGTAGATTCAGCAGAAATTGTGCCATCCTCTTTTTATTTTAACGTTTCCAAAAATGTAGTACAAGTATTAACATTTTATTTTTCGCAAACCCTTAACAGGAAACCGTGTCAGCATTCCCTCTGCACATCCATCTTACAATACCTGGGTTCTGTTAAAGGCCACTCGGGCAAAGATGGCTTGGGAGATGCCCGCTCTCCTCAGCTCCTCTCGCACATTCTGGTAGATGTCACTCGGTACGTCTGTCGGTGCCACTGAAGACATCGCAGCAGCCGTTTGATTTTGCGGCATCGTTGCTGGACACCCTCCAGAACCGCACTGTGCCTGCTGTGATGCTTGAGAATCAGAGGGTTTGGAAAAGGCCTTGGCAGGAGGCCTCCCCACTGGGGGGTGGTTGAGATACTGCTGCGGCGAAGAAGAGAGACCCTGGCCGGCTAGAATGCGGGTAACGGCATACTGCTGGTTGAGAAACTGGGTCATCATCAGCTGCTGGTTCACCATTTGGGAGCTGAGAGGCTGCGGGACCAAACCGGGAGGGTGAAGACCGAGCGATGGCCGACCACAGATGTTGGCGACTGATCCATGAGGGAAAAGAAGGTTGGAGTTCTGATCGACGGGGCTGCTTGGGATCGGCTGCTGGATGTGAGGAATATCTGAGGATTGCTCAGAAAAGCACTCTACGTCTGATGAAAAAAAAAACAAAAAAAAAAACAAATGGGCTTATGTGTTATCATTTAAAAAAGGGACTAAACTAAACATGAATGTCAGAATGACTATCGCAAGCTCTGTTTAGTCAACATGTGAGTTTTGACAAGACGCGTTCAGAAGGAAAGAAGGATTTGATTCCTTAAAATCAAACGGACTCTAAATTGTTCAATTTAAACCGAATCAAATTCAACGAATGATTGAAAACTGTGATATTAAAGAAAGGTAAAGTTTAAATGCATTTTTCTAAATACATTAGCACAATGAAATCGAGATTTAAAATTCACATTTTTAGAAAAACTCTTACCTTGGTGGCATTTGGACCTTTTGAAGTGCTTGTACCACCGACCAAACTCGTGACACTTGGCAGCCGAGACATTTGCATAGTAAGTGCTATTTACAACAGATGATATCATTCCCTGAAACGCAGCGGGGGGGGGAGCGGGGGAGAAAACAAAAGGTATTTATTACATTTTGGGCGGCCTGAGTGCCTCAGCTGCTCACACATCTGATATTAATGAACTCAGATCCGTGTTATTAAAAAGACCCCCAGGTAAACAGCATAATAAAGACAGATGTGTGTGTCGGCGCGTGAGCTGGGCGCGCGCATGAATGTGTGCAAGCATGTGTGCGCAATCAGACAAAACACTAGAGGTCATCAGAGACAATGTCTGTCTTTTAGTAGATGATGTACTTTTTTTATTTTTTCCCCCCTGAAGACTATCCTGTGCACTCTTTACATCTGATTACATGTTTCATCTTCGCATCTTTATTGTAATCTGCCACTCACAAATCAGAAAGTGTGTGTGCGTGCGTGTGTGTGTTGGGGACGGGGGTGAGAGGGTTAGGAGGATGTGGGGGAGGAGGAAATGGTTCGTATCAGATTTTAAGGCTGCAGAGAAGAAAAGAATTTGAAATAGAGGCCATTTTTTAAAACTGGACTCTGTTCCCTTCGGCAATATAATATTGACTAAAATGATAATTAGAAATATGCATATGAGAATTTTCACTAAATGACAAAAGGACCCTTTTATTTCTTTTTTTTTTTTCCTTTTTGGCTGTTTGTGCTAAATTAAATGCATTAAACACTTTAAATAGTCTATAAAAAATAGATATCAAATGATGAACAGATAGTCTCATGAGGTGTTTGGTGAGGCAACACAGACAGACAGACATACTGGCCTCCAGTCAGTAGACAGAGACAGGCAGCAGTCTGGGCTTTTTAAGAGATAGCCATCTTCCTTTATCCGTTTCTCTCTCCTGCACCCTGCCCCCACACCTTATCAACCCCAGCATCTCGACTTCCTGCAAATTTATTGGACCACATACGAGCTTATGAACGCAGCCTGGCAAACACACAGAAACATGAAGGCCAAGGGCAACATATGCATATTCCTTTCGTGTTTGTCCTTTTCTTTGTGTTTGGTTTGTGCGCGTGACTCGTGTATGTTTTTAATATGAGGTCTTTTTGTGAGTTAGCAAACCGAGAGCTGCGTAAATGACTTTTGTTTTAGCCGTTTTAAACCATTTGTGGTTAGTTAAGGTGTGAGTTTCGTCCGTCGTACCTGGGAAAGCGGACACTCTTTGGCCAAGGAACTCTGATTCATGTCCTTAAGAAGCTCCTTCAGAGCATTTCTCACATTGGAGATGCTCCACTGCTCTGGTGGCAGGTCTTCCAGTTTGGGACAACTTAAAAAAAAGCAAGGAAAAGAAGAACAACACTAAAATGTTCTTAGTGTACTGTAGGCAGTTTGTACTGTAGGCAGGCAGAAAGAAAAAAAATCAAGGGTTTGGAATTAACCCTTAAAAAGTGTGAAGACAAACACTTAAAAAAAGAAACACATTGTTCAGTTTGATTCTAGAAGAATCACTGATTAAAAATTTCAGCAAAGAAAGTTGACCATCTCTGAGACAAGCTGACTTTAATGTCCAATAACACTGCTATGTGAGGAGCATCATCAAAGTCTGTATCTGCTCTTTCTGATGGTTTGGTTACATAAGCTGAGCAAAACCTGTTGATGTCCACTTCCTATGCTAGCAGTAGTTAGCGCTAGAAAATTTCAAGGGTGTTGCATAACTCCTTCTTGTGTTTTGTTCTTTGTGCATTTGCTTAGGTTCTCATTTTGTCTCTTGCTTAGTTCCCTTTGTATTCATATCTTATTTTGTGTCACTTTCCTTCAGTTCTTTAGTTCAGGACTCTAAAGATTTTATTGGCAACCACAGCTGGCAGTATTTTACTGCAAATTAGATACTTTTTTTTTCTTTTTTTACACCTTAGACAAATCAGTCTTTTCCATATTGGAGTAGGGAAAAGCTAAAAACACAAACAAACAAACAAACAAACAAAGCCCTGCTCCAGTGTTTTCCAACCTGTATCAACTATTGTTTGTCTGTCAGCATAGTCTTCATTTATTTTTCTCTTTTTTGGTAATATACCCTAATATTAAACAGCCACCAAACATTAATTTAAGTATTCACAGAAAAATATATGACATATTTGTACAGTTTGTGTATTGCCATTGCTGTTTTATAACTGTACTATTCTTAGCAAGCTCTAAGAACAGAGGGAAATGCTTCTTAATTCTCACTTAATTTTTTTTATAAGTTCAACAGCGACTCTAATGCCAAGTTTTATGTAGTCTTTGACTAAAAGAGCATCTCAATAAATCTGTATTTCATCAAATGTTAATTTGCTCGCTTCAGTAATTCAATCCAAAAAGTGAAGCTCATACATATTCATTACACATACAGCAACATATTTCTAGTCTTTATTTGTATTAAAATAATGATGGCTTAGAGCTAATGAAATAATGAAATTCGATTTCTCAGAAAATAAAAATATTATTCGAAGCAATAAAATAAAAAAATAAAATAAAATAAAATAAAATAAAATAATAATAATAAAAGTAATAATAAAAGGGATATTTATGCAGAGATGTCATGCCATATAGCCAAACACAACCATGGAGAAGCCTGCTGACTTAATAGTTGTCCAGCAGTCACTGACACATGTTACACAAGGAGGGTAAACCATAAAAGGTCATTGCTAAGGAAACTGGCCTTTCACAGAAAGGTTGGAGTTGAAGTAAAAAAACAAACAAAAAAAAAAAAAAAAAAAAAAAAAAAAAAAAAAAAAGACACACTGGCAGCAGGGGATAAAGTGTAGTGAAACAAAGCCTATTCAGGAGTTCAAGGAGATACACAGGGGGCAGGAATGGCTGCTAAAATCAGTACTTTTAAAAGTCAGCACACAGACAAAACTATCGCTTTCCACTTGGAAATCAATGTTGGAGAGTCTGAAGAAAGAGTAAAAAGGTACGAAAACCAAACAGCCTCCACCCTGATTATTGGAAAGGTATGTGTAAATGGAAGCCGAAAGCGTAGCTGGTGAATTACGCCTCCCAGGCTGTCTTGGACACACTAGTAAATAATGACATTTTCTGGGATTCAGCATCTGGCTCTTTTGGAGATGGTAATGCCTGACATTTTATGGGTTCTCACAACCGGATATTTCATGAGCATAATATCAGTTGTGTCTTTTTTTTTTTGTTTGTTTTTTTATCCAACATCTGTCCTCTGACCTTCTGATTCCAGCTCTGTTTGGCGCCTGAGTACAGATTAGAAATGCAGGGCTGTGTTTGGCTGAGTACGACGGCTCGAGCATGAAAATGGTATCTAGAGAGAATTGTTGACTTGGGTTGTGACTCCCCCATGGGTTGCTGGGAATCTTTAGCCTGCCGTAGCATGGCAAAATACACAAACGCAACTATTTTGTTGACTCTGCTGTTGATGATAAATGTTAATATTTCATCAGGTTTTTTGCAGTATTGACACTTGAACAGGGTCGTGCCAGAGCAGGCCTAGAGCAAGCCGAAGCCGACGTTAATTCAAACGTTAGTGAAATTAGTGGTTTACCCACTAATAGTTTGGTAAAGTTAGTTTTTTTTTTCCATTTAATTTGTAGTTTTTCCTGCTTTCTTACTAAAAATAAGCTGTTGTGCCAATTATTTCAGTTGCTAATGGATAAAAGCTAAACTGTTTGTTGTTAGTTTTAGTCTCTTTTCTTCGCTGTTTTACTTTTGGAAGTTTATTACCCTTCATTTTTACTTTAGTTTAGTTAGGAATTACTAGATTAGGCAGAGTGATGAATGAGTTAACATTTTGTTATCTTCTTACATATTTGAAGAGAAGGTGTCTGTCTTTGTACTGTAGTTATGTGCAGGGCTTACTGTTTCAGAACATCACCGCTGAACGTAATTCTTCATCTATTGTTCTATAGTGCCACACCTCACCAGGCAGATACTCGTAGAACAAAAACTGAAAGACTGAAAGGTATTTGGCTTATTATTCCCCGACAATCAGGCAGCGCCCCGACTTGGTAATGATGATTAAAATTGCTGACTTTGTTAATAATTGCCTTTGCCACTTTTTTTGCAACAGTATGTTTGTTTTCTGCCCTAAACTGGCTTTATTCAGCAGGTCCTGTCCACACCCGTCACTGTGCGGTTCGGGTCAGTCACAAAACAGGACTGAATGAACAAATCAGGTCTGCAAGAGAGCCTGATCATCAGGGCTGACCTTCGCTCCGTCCAGAACTCATACAAGACTAGAGTCAGAAAACGAGATCTAACATCTCTGCAGACCTCACACGTCATGGACAGAAACTGTTTCGTTGTTCACCTCCCGACAGGCACTGCAGCACAAATTGATACTATGCATGTTTTCACTAATTCAACCATGTCTTCCTCTTTTGCATAAAAAAGACTTTGAGTTTGGATATATTTATATACTTATATTTGAACGTCTTTCCTGAGAGCAAAGCAGAAGTCAAATTCCTCCATTACATGCACAAACCTAGCGAATGACGCTGATTCTGACGCCGTGCGTATGAAATCTGTGTAAAACATGACTTTCACATTTCCAATTGATTTAAAGGAATCCGCAACGTTTGATGGTGGCTTCTGCTTGTTAAAACTGGATGATTTATTTATTTATTTTTCTTTTACTGCTAGTGACTTCAAAGGAAGGGCCAAGGAGTAAGTGCATAGAGGGCGAGTGAAAGTACATTCATTAAGTCTGTCCATTGCTGCAGATAAAAATAGCTCATAGAAGAATAATGTAACTTCATTATCTACCTGTTAAGCTGGATCTTCAGCGTAACAACATGGTGAACATCATGCAGCATATCAGCCACTGTCGCATAAGGAGTGTTAGTCACAGACGACAGAGGCACTGGGTTCCACCTGCCTACTTGGATCAGACCTACACACTCATACACGCGGCAAAAAAAAAGAAGACAAGAAAAGAAAAAAAAGAAAATTAAAATTGTACGAATGTGCTTGTGCTCTCTGTGCGCGTGTCTGTGTGTACTGCTTACCTTTAGCCTGCGCCACAGAGCTGTGGGAGTACCCCAGCGCCAGCAGGGCCATTTCTGTCAGCTGATTAAACAGCAGATCCCGTTTGATCAACACGAACTCAGCGTGCTCGTCTCTCCTCTCTGCTTCCACAGAACTTTCCTGATGCTCCACCACACAGAACACGGGCAGCAGGGTTCCTGGGGTACCAGACGCACAGTACGTGCCATAAGAAGTTTTTATGATTACTGTCCATAAAACAGTATGGACTGTCTTATTGACATAAAACGACATAAAAAGTTTTGGACAGTTTTCGTCATTGTGACCAGGTACCTTTGGAGTGCCAACTTGCTGTGGTGGGTTTCTGGGTCGGGCAGGGACTGTCAGGCAAAGGACTCCCTTGCCTCGTCCTTTCTGGGGTCGAGGGTCCCGCGTTGTGTTGCTCCAGCCGAGCCATCTTAGCTGGAGGGGGCCGAGAGTTTGCAGCCAGATCACTGGACTCGGTTTTCTTGATTCCATCACACAGTGGATCCATCTGTGGTTTCACACTTCTGAGACAGAGATGTTTGAACCTCAGAATGAATGTAATTCAGCATTCTTGGCGCTCAAAAACCTGTGTATTCTTCAGAATTTTTTTTTTTTAATGTTGATTCAAGATTACACGCATTGTCGTGAGGTGATATACAATATACTTTGGAAGCTGCTGATTAGTAAGTACAGCATAAGGTAATTAAGTAAGTACTGAGTAGAATGAAATTGCATCTGTGGTGATGTTTAAAAACACACACGCACACACATCTCAATCATAGGACAATCAAAAATGAATCAGTTATGCTGCCGTATCTGGAAGAGAAATGTGTAGCTAAATGCGAATTACAAAAAACAACTATTCTTCAGGAAAAAAGATGTGTTTTGTGCTCCAGAGATGAAAGTGTTCTGCACATATAAGGAGCTTCAAATCTTGTGGAGCTGCTGCTGAGTGAAGCTGGCAAGAGAGTTGAGTAATTTACAGTCAGCTGTTCTGAACCAACATGGGCTAAAAGGCCACTCTGAGAGGAAGAAGCAATTGCTCCAAAAGCAGCTTCAAGAAAGGTTGACTACAGCTTGCAAATGCATCCTGAAACAAAGAGACACATCCAGACGTACAGACGGAAAAGCCTTGGAAAGAGGTTCATATTCAGCTGTACAATAGGTTTGTTCTTGCTCTCCTTATGTTTGACTCCATGCTTTAGCTGCAAGTAGCATGGAATACGTTTGACTTTTACAATAATGGGGCATAGCAGCAGGCACCCACTGGCACAGATAAAATACCTCAATAAAGTGGACTAATCTGCCCAAAAAACAAGATTTCCCTGTTGTCCATTTCTCTGTCTGCCAGGAGTGAGCTCAGCCCAGAGTTTATATATGGCTGCCTTCATGTGTAATACAATTTCAGCTCTGGAGTCAGCTGTCCACTGCGTTACGTACAGCAGTATTTCAAGCTAGTGTAAAGATGACCAGAGTCTTGTAGCAAGGATATACTCTGTTTAATTGTTTTAATGTGAAAATCAATGAGCCTCATAAAACCACATCTTAGGGGTGGAACTGTTTCCTTCCCACTGGGAAACTTATAGAGAAGAAAAACAAAATCAGGAAGTCAGGATAAAAAAAACTTGCTTAAAATCTATCAAACAACTTAGATGAGAATGGAATAATCAACGAGAGCTAATTCCAAAAATTGGAATATTTCTGTATTACTAATAAACATGTACCTATTGACTGATTACCTAAACAAAAGAAGCACACACGACCAACATGAAACAGCCAGCATCTGAACACACAAACTTCACTCTACACAGTGATTCTTAAAGGCAGGTTTAAGAATCAAGAGATCAAACTGCCCCAATTAAAACTGTTTATGCTTCATCTCTTAGAAGGATAAAGGAAGTGATTTTAAGTTCTCATACCAATTTAAATCTAAACAGGGAAAGTAAAAACGGGCAGTGATGAAACCAGGATTTAGAACCGAACCGATACCAAACATTGTGCTAAGGTGATCAAGGTAGGTTATGCAAATCTTTTATCTTTTCTATTAGACTCAAAACACCTGGAGAGCGAAATTTGTGCCCAGTCTCCTTTGTAGAATGGGCCAAACTTGGTGAGACCGAAAAGGACATCATCTAAACATCAGCTGTCAGGTTTAGCCACAAATAATTCTCACCTGGATTTACATCTGGACTTTGGCTGGACTACTCTAGGCCATGAACGTGCTCTAGTAAAGCTGAATATTTAGGACTGTTTTCCTGGGTCGTCACCATTTCAAGTCTTTTGCAGCCCCCCACATTTCATCGCCTTACATGTGTTTACCTTCATCCATTTTCCCATCAACTCTGACCAGCATCCCTTATCCCTGCAGATGAAACGCATTCCGAGCGCAAGAAGCTGCCGCCACCTTGTTTTACTGTGGTGGTGTTCAGGGTTGTGTACGGTGTTAGCTTTTCCCCATATTTAGTATTTTTGCAAATGGTCCAGAAGCTCAACATTGGTCTGCTATGACCAGAGCAGCTTCTTCCAAATGTTTGCTGTAGCTGAGTGGAAATTCTTCCCATACAAACACATAGCTTGTGTGTCTCTGATCATATTTAATTTGACTGTGTTTTGATGTTGATGTTCCCTTCTTGAATTATTTTATTTTTTTTATTTGAAAAAGATTTGTATTTTAGAATACAAATACTTTCAACCATAGACACTAAATACCTAGTACTTTTTCTATAATAAATGCAAAATAAACTGGGAAGTAAGAAATGATTTTGGGGGGAAAGGCAAACTATAGAATTACTGATTTGAATTCATAGGGTTTCTCTGCAACATTGAGAGTTTAAAGATCGTCAACCAAGTAATGCATTAAATGAATAGTAAATTTGGATTCATTTATCTTATATTATAGACACGTCTAACTATCTTTTTTTTTTCCCGGAACACGTCTTTTATACTGAAGGTTATGACCTTCATTCGGATGTAGCGCTTTTAGAAAAGCCCCTACATCTGACTAAAGTCCGGCTAAGTTTCCAGTAATACACCCAGGCGTCGCCACCAGGCGCGTCGCTGTGCACAACCCGACAGCATATTGAGTTCAACATTTCGCATCTCGACGAGCTCCGATTGTTGGCGTCAGATGAAGTTTGATCGAAGTCAAACCAACCTGTTTGTGCACGACCCGAGGTGCGATCGCTCATCAACAACCCGCTCCCGCAGAAATAATCTCCGTCCATGTGTTTCGGTCGCTTCCACCGATCTTCAGGTGAGGAGCAGACTCGCGTCTCCCCGGTGCACTCTCCTCCTCGTGGGTCCCCTTTTCTTTCTTTTGAATCGAATATTCCCCGGTTTAACATCGAATGTTTCCCCCCGGTGCTGCTTTGCTCCTTGATTGAACGGTAAATCGGGTTCGGTACAAGTTCAGAACGACCTTCCGTCACCCATCCAGATCACCGGGACTTGCTCTATGTCCCTGCATCAGGCTGCAGAAAAGGGAACAATGCACTGCAAGGTTCCGCTGACCTACCTGCCTACCGACCTACCACGCTCAAGGCTCCACACCCGCTGACTCCAGGACAGTAGTTGTTGGTTTACTTCAAAGCGCGAATACGCGGAGAAAGAAAGAGAGGAAGAGACCCACTGCCCCCACCCCACTTCAACACACACACACGCGCGCACGCACGCACACACACACACACACACACACACACACACACACACTCGGAATTACACAGAAGCAGCTGCATTAACATATGGTGTAATAATGAATTCACGCGCGCGCGCCGTAACTGTATTAAATGTGACATTTGCGCATAAATCTATTTATTATTTTCTGCAGCATGCTGTTCACGCTCTACTCATTGTCTTTAGGGTGTTGGAACCCTCCACGGTAACAAACCGCAGCAGGGCAAGGTGGATTTTTTTTTTTTTTACTTAACTTTTAAAAGCTTATTAAATCTTAATCTGGCAGACTTAAATGTGGAAGTTGTTTTTGTTTTTGTCACCAACATTTTTCTTCTGATTGGGAGTAGTGTTGAGTAATGTTCCTTCCCAACCCCAAAGGCTTAGAGCTCATTACTAAATATTCATCGTGAAAATACACATAAACTACTGTTGGATATATATATATATATATATATATATATATATACTCTTTTAAACAGCCCATTGGTTTTTATACTAGAGTATATTTATTTATTTAGAGTATAAATAATTCTTGATGTCCCCTTTTTTATTTCCCATGAGAAATAAACCTATTAGTAAAATAAGAATAATTTGAAATCTAAATGTGCCTGGACGATGAGTAATTTTGGGCTTAACTTCATTCTCCTGTCGCACACATTTAAACACACAATCTCACTGATGAGACTATTTAAAAAACTTCAAACCGCAGCTCAATCAAAAAAGCCCCTTGTCTTGGTTACATGGAGGTGACCCAACATTTCAAGAACCCATATTACTTTCTGAGATACCAGTTTGGATCCAGTTAGATCCTGGTTTGAAACTGGTGCTTCTGGTTGGGAGATTTCTTATCCTAAAGGTACAACAAGCGTCATCCTTATGTTTTACTTTATTGCAGTTTGATGCTCCCAGAGAGAATCTACGTTGTCGGAAAACAGAACTGCTTGCAGTAGAATTGTCCCTTCAACATTGGGAACTCGGCGTGATGAAACTGCACTTTTTATAGAAAACTGCACCGACCAAGAATTTATCATAATTAATGTCAGCTAAGAGGTTTAACCCTTGTCTGTCACATTGGTCACCTACATTTAACTTTACCTTTACTTACTATCCTGGCGTTTTCTCTTGGGACGTTAGGGGCCATATCAGCCAAGCTCTGTCTTGACCCAAACCTTATAATGGCCTTTTCAATTGACTTTATGTTAGTGCTCCCATCTGTTCACAAGTCCTGCACTTGACTATGCATCCAAGGTCTTTTCTCACTCCACTGTTGACTTTACTTGAAATATGCTAAAGAGTTTCTCCTGCCTTGTATAGATTGTGGACGAAAGTAAATACGACAAAAAAAAAACAAACAAAAAAAAAACATCAATCTTTAGCTTTGCCAGCCATCCTTTAGTCTCACATCCCATAGTAGCCATTTTGGCTTTCTACCATCCAAGGGACAAAACATAATCCCAGCCACTAGAGACAGATTTTCCAAGGCTTGTGAACTCATTTACCTCGACAAACAACCCCCTGCTGCACTATCTGCCAATTCCCTAATCCATCATGTGCTCAGTGCTCCGTGCCATTCCCCAGAAGATCATCTCTAATCGGGGGGTCTCATTCGTTTCCCAGACCAAACCAATAAGCTTGATTAAAATTGATATGCTTCTAATGGCTAATATTCCTCCAAAATTCATTTGTATGGTGCACTCAACCAATAAAGCTCAATCTCCAACCAGCATTTTATGAGGCAACATCTATAGATACCTGAAGATATTTTTAACACAAAGGTTTTATAAATACTTTGGCATCTTCTCTTTCAACAATAGAGTAAAATGTTTCACTATTACAAACAAGGACACAATAGGCCTGTGTTAACTTAACAATACAGGTTTGATGCAGATCATCTCTCGATAAGTGGAACCCATATGGGTCCAGGATTTGTTGCGTTATTTAAGCACATTTTCTCATTACCTACATATACCAGATTCAACTAGGACTCACAAGGTGTCTGAATGAGTTATATTTAGAACCCAAGAAGGTCCTTTAAATATGAAACAAGAACCCTTCAGTTCTCATGCAACCTGAGCAAAATCTACACATACACAAGCTGATTGTGTCATGCCAGGAGAGCAATGGAAATTCTTCCCTTTCTGTTTTCACATCAACCCAAACTGTGCTTCATAACAAGCGTTTGTTCAATTTACAACAATGTAACATCTCTCTAACCTGTCAGGGAATTTTTGATTTGAAACTATAAATGCTCAAAACGCATTAGTCAACATAAAATCCTAGAAAGAGCTCATTACCTTAGCTCTGAATTGGAAGCTGCGCATCAGATACCCCCTCAACTTTATTAGCCATCTGCTAGTGTGCCCACATTTTCTTTAGTGTTACACGGTTCCCAACACAAGGGGGCGCCCGTTACTCACTGACTAGGCGTGAAAACGTCCGACTGATTTTTTTTTTTTTCTGGTCGCAATTGACATTATTTATTTATTTACTTTTTACTGCTTGTGTCATGCTCTAAGACTTCTACTCCCCTTTTACATTCAACCTATGTACAAACATCGGCACACCATGCTCACAGACACAAGCAAAAAGGTCATAGAATACATATCAGAGAGATTATAAACTCATAAAATGTCAGATATGAAGACATAAAATGTCAGATCTGACATCTACTGAAAGGTCAGACACAAAATCTCCGCAAAAATATTAACATGTGCAATTGCTCCAAAGCTATAATTATTAAATCACTAAATATTTTTTTTCTGTTTCTCTTGACATTTTCTTAGTTACTGTTATCAAAACACAGCGCAGAATAGATCTGACTATGACGTACGTAGGCCTTTAATGCTCAATGTTTATTCAAATTTGTGGCAAAAAAACCCCCCCGTAATATAGGATTTAAAATCCAAAAAGTATCCAAATGTTTGATATGTTTTCTGATAAAGTATTGTATTTCTCGTTAAATGTAGAGCATCGAATTGAAGAAATATACTCACTGAGATGTGCTGACAAATTTTAGGACCAAGTCAAAGATAAAAAACAAAACAACAAAAAAAAACGTAAATCATCTGTACCTCTTAAGGATGGACTAAAAATGACAGAAAAAAAATCTTCTTCTTCTTCTTCTTCTTCTTCTTCTTCTTCTTCTTCTTCTTCTTCTTCTTCTTCTTCTTCTTCTTCTTCTTCCTGTTTGCAGAACCAATAGACTTCAGCCATGCATCAGCAGAAGTCCCCACATTGTTGAGATGCACTCTTTCCCTCTCAAATGTGGTCCAAAGGATTCCTTGTGAAGGTACCCAAAGGCCAAATGCAGTGAGCGTGTCGGGTGGAAGAGAACTCGAGGCACTAAGAGTTCCTTTTGTTTGCCCCCCACCCCCACCCCAGACCCCCTGAAACTCCAGCAGGTGTGATTGCAGGTTTGTTTTCGCCACAGATGGGTAGATGCTGAGCAACATAAAGGGGGTTGGGGAGAGGGAGCAGCCAATGCTCAACTACTTTTGACTAATTAAACAAAGTGAATTAGACTATCTCCCCAGCCAGAACGAGTCACGGCTGGTTACACATCACTCATCGTGACTAATTCAGTGAGAGAGATGTCAGTCAGCAGCTCTGCCAACGTGTGTGTGTGTGTGTGTGTGTGTGTTTGGGTCTGCGTCTTCCCACGTGCACCTCCAGGTACGCTGCCGTCGAAGTTCGGCTCGTTCTAAAGTTATCTTCCGCTGCTCTGCGTCTACCTCTGTCACCACCACCGATCTTTATGGGATCGAATTGCACTCCCTCCCCGTCACCCTCAGCTTTTGCTATTTTATCGCTGGCTCGATACAGCTGATGAGGCTGGCATGCTAAATGATAATTAAGACCATTACACGCTCGCAGAGCATGCTACCAGCGCAGCACACAGCTCCCTCGATTGGAGCCCTGTCTCGGGGGACACCCTACTACTTACACAGCCGTGTATCCCCCCCCCCCCCCTAAATTAGGTTAGATTTTCATTCCGCCTCATTCGCCTCGGATGTGATGTGGTTATTATAAACTCATGATATGGTTAGTGAGCCTGCTGCTGTTAGATGGGTGGAGGGATCGTGTTGGCACGTTAGAGGAGGTG